TGTGTGTGTGTGTGTGTGCCTGTCCTGTATAAGATGTGGTTTTGAGAACAAACAAAAACAAACAACAAAAACTTCAGGGCAGGAAATGTAGCAGAGAGCCTCTGACTTTTCAGGCAAAGTAAATGGTTCTGAAAATCCCAGAATAAGCCAAGGGTCCCTGGAGGTCCACAAGCCAGGGATCTGGAAGACAGTACCCAGAGAGGTACCCTGGAACCTATCCCGTAGAATCTATCCAGGTGAAGCAGAGGCCAGACACAGGTTCCTGGGCCAGAAATCCCAGCTGTAAGCCACCACCCCAGGCCACCCCAGTGTCCTCCAGAGGCCTCACCGGGTCTGCAGCCAGTTGGTTGGGGATGGTGGGAGTCTGCTGGTCAACACACACCACCTTCTTCATGTCCTCGAAGCTGGGATCATTGGGCACCACATCATAGAAGGGTGGCCTGTAGTCCTCCATGATGCCTGGGGATAGAGGGTGACGGGACAGTCACTTGGGATCCCAAGAAGGCCCAATACCACCCAGAGGAGAGCCTTGCCCACCCTCTGTCCTAGGGTCCAGGTGAAACCATGGCCATGCTACCCCTGAGAGGGACACCATAATATAATAAATATATTTATAAATAATAATAGTTACTGCCAGTTATTTTACAATTCACCATATATGTTGGACGTTGTGCTATAAACACTTTACACACATTATCCTGCTAGTATTCACAGCAACCTGACGGGTGGGTACGATTTCTACCCCGTTTTACAGGTGAAGAAACCGATGCTCAGAGAAGTTGAGCCCAAGGTTACCCAGCTAGTAGCGGCAGAGTAAAGACCGACCTCACTGTATTTCTAGGCCAGTCTTTTTCCCACGCAGGGCCCAGGTACTTCTCCCAGGCCCCAGCTATCACAGATGCCCAATAATACGTTTACTGAACATTTACTATGTGTCAGGCCCTATCCTCACTGCATTGCATTAAATCCTCACAACAACCCTATGAGGTAAGTAATACTATGAGCCCCACTTTATAAGCAATGACATTAAGACCAGAGAGGTTAAGAAACTTGTCTGCAATCCCACAGTAGTGAGTGGCAGAGCTAGGGTTTAAGAGCAGAAAGTCTAACCAAAGCCCATGCTCTTGACCTCCAAGCTCCATTTAAGGGAGGGTAGCCGGCTGACTGCTGCGTGAGGATGTGGAATGAGGAAAGAGGGAAAAAACACATCTCCTAAGAGAAAGAGATTTTTTTCCAGGTCCAGATACCATCCACTCACTCTTAGTGATAACACAGGACTCTACTGACCCTTCAGCAAGTGCACAGTCCTTAGCAGGAGCTTCCTCAAAATGATGCCTGCGGAGCGGCGGAAGGCTAGGGCAGAAGCAGCCAGACCCCAGGAAAGCGCCCCTGGCCCCACCCTGCTTCCCAGCCCGAGGCTGGGGGCCGTGGCCACACAACCGCAGCCGGTGGAGCCCGCACCAGCTGTGCTCCCCTGGCGGGCTTCCAGGCCGGCCCCTGTGCTGCTCCAGCCCCAATCAGTGCTGCGCAGAGGCCTGAGCATGTCTAATGGGCCTTTAATCAGCACGGGGCTGACACCAGATTACAGTGTTTATAATGCACCGCAAATCTGTGTGGGGCTGACAGAGCTTCCCTCCGCCCCAGGAGCCTGTGGTCGGCCTCCCCCTCAGCCCCTGAGGCCCAGCCTTCCTTTCTTGCCTGCAGCCTGG